ACGTGACATGATAGAAATGAGTTTCATGAAATTAAGAATGGAAGTAGAGTACTTTGACTGTGGTGTCTGTCTGTGTGTAATCAGTCAGATATCTTAAGACTTCCTTATCTAATTTCAATTACTCTTGGTTTTTTTTTTCAAACTTTTAGATACTTCATGCACTGAAAATGTGTGATTTCATTAATTGATTTTTTTCACTTTTCTACAGTATTTTTAGAATACTCGATGTTAGCATCTCTAAAAACTCATCAAATTTTATGTAAACAATTTTTTTAATGTGATAATTTGTAAATATGTAGGTGTGGATATATGTGTATACGTACATAAGTATATACACAGAAAAAACTTTTGAACGTACAGAGCCCAGTTACGCTGGCTAGAGAAGTTCAAATCGCTTTGAACTCCTACTGCACAAGTGTACAGGCCACCTTGACTCGAAGATCGAGTCACACGAGTTCAAAACAGCGTTCAACTGAGACTGCACAACCATGCGCGCCGCGTAGCCTGTAGTTTGGGTTTGTATAGTACGGCATAGCATTGAACTGCAGAAGCTCGAGTGGGGGGGGGGGGAGCTACGTGAGCCCGACGGTTGTGCTCTCACAGCACAATGTCCAGGCTCAGCGATCTCAGTGCTTCTCCGAGCTTTCTCTCACCGAATTTCGAGCTATCAGCAGACAACTTTTGGGCTTCAATGAATACAGCCGTTCATTATACAGAACGCGTACAGGTAAATGAGTTAACATTAATATTTTATATACATACATGCCTGTGAATAATTTCATAAAACTTATATAACTTTTATGTAACTCGTTAATATAGTATAAAATTTGTAGGGTTAATTATAACATTTTGACCGTACAAACTAAGAATGGTCATTTTAAAAATGAGTAACACAATTTTTTCCAGTATCTGAGCTAAGTGAAAACGAATATAGTATGTTACGTCCCTATAGGTCAAAATGTTATAATTAACCCTAAAAATTTTATACTATATTAATGAGTTACATAAAGGTTAAATAAGTTTTATGAAATTATTCACAGGCATGTATGTATATAAAATAATAATGTTAACTCATTTACCTGTACGCGTTCTGTATAATGAACGGCTGTATTTATTGAAGCCCAAAAGTTGTCTGCTGATAGCTCGAAATTCGGTGAGAGAGAGAGCTCGGAGAAGCACTGAGCTCGCTGAGCCTGGACATTGTGCTGTGAGAGCACAACCGTCGGGCTCACGTAGCCCCCCCCCCCCTCGAGCTTCTGCAGTTCAATGCTATGCCGTACTGTACAAGCCCAAACTACAGGCTACGCGGCACGAATGGTTGTGCAGTCTCAGTTGAACGCTGTTTTGAACTCATGTGACTCGATCTTCGAGTCAAGGCGGCCTGTACACTTGTGCAGTAGGAGTTCAAAGCGATTTGAACTTCTCTAGCCTGCGTAACTGGGCTCTGTACGTTCAAAAGTTTTTTCCGTGTACTTGATCATATCTTACGATTTCCTAGAATAATTTTGATCAACTTTGAACTTTGACCTTCTTTATTTATTTTTGAATTCTTGTGACTAATAACATTTTTTTTATTATAGTGCACTACGTCCTTTTCTGCAATGGAACACGGCACTTTGGGGACTGGGGACTGGGGGGTGGGGATGGTAAGGGTGTAGGGGATTCGATTCCACAATCGCCAGGATAATCAGTCCTGTGGGTGGGGAAATTACTCGGGAAAAAACAATCCCGAGACCGACGATGTATGTCCTAAGTTTCGACCAAATGTCTATATTGTCTATAGACATTAGACCTTAACTTCTGCACATCTCCCGCTTACGTTGTCGTAACGATAGAGACAGTCAACCGATCTGAAAAATCACTAGAGCAAGCGAACAGAATAATAGTCGAGCAATCACCCATCCGACAACCAACCGCGGCCAACTCTGCTTAACCTTCTAGATCGACGAGACTGCAACTCTACCGCTGCACCATCGTGTTGATTAAAAATTATGTTTTATTTCATCAGTTATATTTTTTTTTTTTATTGATTTTATTAACTTAGAAATATGTAACTTACAAAAAATTAATTTTTTGCATTTTTTGTTATTTAAGGAGGTTTTATGTTTCAGACTTATAAGGTTGTTAAATTTTGTAAAAAAAATTCAAATATACTAAAATATATGTAGGTGTGTGTGGGTGTGTGTATGTTTAGCTTAATAATTTATTTTACTAGGTAGGTCCCAAAAGAATCCAATTTGATCCAACACGTTCGTCAAATTAATTTGTAGTTGAAAATGACGGAAAGAATCTAACAGTAACTTTGAATAAGGATTATTGCTTATTGAGTAAAAAAGGTTATTACTGGTGATAACCACAGATTTATAATTATAATCACAAAATAAAACGACAGTCTTGGCAGTAAAAATTTCCAGCTGAGCCTCAGCCAAAAAACGTCAAAACACTGATTATAAGATTTTTTGAAGGTTGCACGCGTAGTTTGAGTTTTGCGACGGTAGCTCTTTTTAAAAGAAGTAAGTTATTTTCCATGGCAGAAGTAGATAAAAAAAATCACTGAGCATTCGCTTTTTATAATTTTTGAGCGGACCTGGATGTTTCGAAGTTATAAATATGAAGTCCATGACATGGAATTACAACTCCAAAATCCAATTTTTAATTGATTGATCTTTTTTTTAATTATTGGGAGATACCTATAACTGCAGAATTCCATATTGATTTTATTGGTTCTCTCATCTCAACTTTTTAGTTCTAAGACGTTAAAACTGACAGAGAGAATGGAATTTTAAACAAAAACATGTAAACGTATAAAATTTTTGAAAAACTAAGGATTTGACAACATCATACTATCAATTATTTGTAAAAAATAAAAGATTTTGATTACTAGAAAAAAGATACTCAAAACAGATTAAGGTTACGGAAAAAAAATACCAAAAAAATGAGGAAGCTTTGTGCCAATAAATTGGCAGTAGTTTTGAATTTTTATAACCCAAATAATTAGACGAACGACTCTTATAATAAGCTAGCGGTCAGTGGGTGCTTGGATACTCAAGTATAAAGTTATACCTCTCTGGCAAAGATAATACATAAATGTACATACACCTTTTAGGAAACAAAGTATTAAATAACTCACTGCGATGTATCGAATGTGATGCAATTATCCCATCTAGTTACTACTATATACAGTCAATAATAATAAAAAAATACAAAATATGATAGTACCACCATTGGACGTTGTTTTCAAAGTTTAATTTTTTTTAAATTTCAGTAGAACATGTAAGCTAATGAAAAAACCATGCAAAATTGCATGTGTAAGGAAACGATCTGTAGAAATGTTACATTTTTTTTGTATGATAGAATATTATTAGAATTATAGACTACATTTAGATTAACAAATGTATTTTTAATGGATCTACAAGTTGGTTTTCTAAAGTAAAATAAGACATAGGGGGTCACATATACGTATAGGTATACATGTAGGTATATTCATATGAACCGAATAAGTGGCAAAGATGCTGTATGTCAGCGCTCCACTCACCTCCCTCAACTTCCCCCTACTAAGTGTAACGAACGTCCGTAACTCAAAAAATCATTCTAGTCACGAACGAAGAAATTGTGGAGGATGAGACGCAATGAAAATTAATTAATATATTTATGGAATCTGGTATAAATGAGCTAAGTGAAAACGAATATAGTATGTTACGTCCCTATAGGTCAAAATGTTATAATTAACCCTAAAAATTTTATACTATATTAATGAGTTACATAAAGGTTAAATAAGTTTTATGAAATTATTCACAGGCATGTATGTATATAAAATAATAATGTTAACTCATTTACCTGTACGCGTTCTGTATAATGAACGGCTGTATTTATTGAAGCCCAAAAGTTGTCTGCTGATAGCTCGAAATTCGGTGAGAGAGAGCTCGGAGAAGCACTGAGCTCGCTGAGCCTGGACATTGTGCTGTGAGAGCACAACCGTCGGGCTCACGTAGCCCCCCCCCC